AGCCCTTGCTTGTAGGGCTAGGGGGCTCGACGATGAGAAAAGGGGCTTAGTGGCTTATTGGAAATCAACACTACGGGACTTTGCAAGGTCTTTACATGGTTCAATACACGGGGCCCGCAACTTGCAACAAGGTTTTGGGGTATATTCTCCTGGGGTTAGATACTCAGGAACCCCGAAACCCTAAACCCTAAACCCTCGTTCCTAAACCCTAAACCCTCAACCCTAAGCCCTGAACCCTAAACCCTAAACCGTCTCCGGAGGATAACTGTGCAGAGCTCCATCTCAGGGCTCTGTGTGTCGGTTGAAGACATTAAAGCTGTAGAGCTGCTAGTCCTTGTAGCCCTAAACCCTAAGCCCTAAACCCAAAGCCCTATACCCTAAACCCTGAAACCGGGTTTGCGGTTAGGGCTTAGGGTTTGAGGCTTAAGGTCTCGTCGGGTTTAGGGTTTAGCGGTTACGAGTGTGCAGAGGTCCTGTTCCAATGACCAAGGTTTACAGTTGGGCTGGGGCATCGACAGCTTTCATCAAAGTCTGGACGGGGTTGGTAGAAACGGCGTCTTCGGGCTCCAAACGGTGTTTAGGACGGCCTGCTTCTCGAAGCTTTCGGGGGTAATGATACGTAGGATTCTGAGTACCTGATAGCGGCTGCATACCCTGGCCCTCAAAATACCAGCCGTTCAAATCTATAGTAGGCTTATGTTAAATCAAACACTCTTAGAACCCTCAAAACCCTTCAACATAAAGAACCGTGACTGACTGTTCTGCAATAACATCCACACCTCTCGCAAAGCTAAGCGAATCTCTTATTGGAGACAGCAACACAATGAAGACTATCTGTCCGAAGAGGTGCCAAGAGCATGAGACCGAAGAAACGTGGTCTGTTGAACCCTAAACCCTAAACCCTAAACCCTAAACCCTAAAAGGGACTCTTTGGGTGTTTTGGGTTGTTTCTAGGACTTAATTCGGGTGTCGCCTGTGGATAGTCCTATGTCCCTCCTAGATCGGCCCGTGAGCCCGGGGTTTAGGGTTTAGGGTTTAGGGTTTAGGATTTAGGGTTTAGGGTTTAGGGTTTAGGGTTTAGGGCTGAAACTTTGGCATGGAAGGGCTCAGCGGGTAGGATTCGGGGGTTTAGGGTTTCGGACCTTAAGCCCTAAACCGTATGTACTTGCTGTGTAGGGTAGCAACGTTGGCCGTGACCCTGCGTAGGTGTTCGAATGTACACAAGCTCCTAAACCCTAAACCCTTGACCCGTGAACCTTCAGCCTAGCTCCTAAGCCTCACCCCTGAACCCTAGACCCCTAAACCCTCATACCCGAAAACTCGGAGCCTTAAGCCTTTTTAATTAGAGCCCTTTAAAAATTCTAAACCCTAAACTCTAAACCTTAAACCCTAAACCTTACACCCTAAACCCTATTTCTACAAAAAAAGCGGGCCCTCCCTCAAACCCCAAGTCCTCAGCCCCACACTTTGTAGTCGTGGCCGTAGTATGGCATCGGGGCAATCTCGTAGTGGCCCAAGCCTTAGGTTTAGGGTTTAGGGGTTTAGGGTTTAGGGCTTACGGGTTTAGGGGTTTAGGGGTTTAGGGTTTAGGGTTTAGGGTTCAGGGCCGAATGCTTTTGGGGGGGTTTTACCAGATTTGTGCGCAAGGGGTGCCTTCGGTCATACGTTGTATAGAGTTGCAAAAACTTAACTATGTTCTTGGGTTTTGGGGATTGAAAGATTAGGGCATTTTTTGGCGTTTAGGGTGTGGGGTGGAGTGTAGGGCATGGGGCATTGAGTTCAGGGTCTGGGGTTTAGAGCTTCGGGGTCTTTGCTCGGCTTCATCGGGCTTATATCACAGCTGCCTCAAACTCTTCGAAACACTGCAGCACCCCATTAAATCCTAAAGCCGAAACACACAATCCCTAGAAGCAGAAGTCAAAGAAGCTCTAAACTTACTCCTAAAAAATATTGAGCTTTAAACTTGCTTTGAAGACCCCTAAACCCTAAACCTAAAACCCTTCGACATCCCCAAACCCTAAACCCCAAACCCCTAAACCCAAACCTAAACCCATAAACCCTAAACCCTAAACCCTAAACCCCTAAACCTTAGCCGCCAAACAGCCAATAAACCCTAACAAAGAATCCGAAAGGTCTGAACTTGCTTGTGAAATCCAGCGGGGGAGCCGAAAAGTCCGAAGTGTTCCTCGGTGCCGCCCTTCCAGTATGCCACCTTTGGAGGTTTTGGGTTGAGGTGGTTTAGGGTTTAGGGTTTAGGGTTTAGGGTTGAGGGTTGAGGGTTTAGGGTTTAGGGTTTAGGGTTTAGGGTTGAGGGTTGAGGGTTGAGGGTCAGGACGCCGGGCATGGGGTTGAGGGTTTAGGGTTTAGGGCTTCCGGTTTACGGCATAGGGCTTGGTTTTTGTAACGGCTCCATACTTTGAACCGGACTTTGACCGAAATTATGTATAGTCGTATAGCGACTTTTCGGAGATGGTAGTCCCCATTTTCTCGACTCCCATGTTACAACAGGACCTCTGAGCGCAGTCGTTGGTGGTACGCGGTCCGTGTCGGTGGCCCGATTTCTCAGAGTCTTTGGAGCATCCCTGAGCCCTAACAACCCTGACGCCTCAAATCCCTGAAGCCCAATGCCCTAACCCCGGCCCCCAAACCTGAAACCCGAAACCTAAACCCTAACACCTGAAACCTCAAGCCCCAAACCCTAAACACTCCTCAAATCCCCGCGGCCAGCCTGAAACTGGAAGAAGGAGATGCCCAGGAAAAGCTCCTTGGTCACTAAACGGCTTCACTGGTTAACATGGACCATGGAAGAATGCTTCTGAACACGAGTGATAGGGTTTAGGGTTTAGGGTTTAGGGTTTAGGGTTTAAGTGATCAGTCACTAGCTGTTAGCAACTCGTGATTGCCCACGGCATCGCCACGACCACGACCGGCACGGCAGGCCGTATGAAACCGTGGGTTCCTGTAGCAGCTGCTGCCAAAAAAAAACCTTGCCCACCTGGTTACCCAGAGACTCCAATATTCCTTACTTAAGGAATATTCCTTAAATTATAGTAGGATCCCTAATATATATATATATATATATATATATACATATATATACATATATTCCTTAATTAAGGAATATTGGAGTCTCTGGGTACCACGACTTCCGTGCTCCCAGGCACATGCGACGCCATCCGGTCCTGGACCCTTCGAAGTTCTGGAGCCGGCCGGGCCAGATCCTGGGAGATCTCCTGCTTAATTAAGGAAGATGCCTTAAATTATAGTAGGACCCTTAATATAATTTAAGGGATATTCCTTAAATTATAGTAGGATCCGTAATATGATTTAAGGTATATTCCTTAATTAAGGGATATTGGAGTCTCTGGCCAGACAGACTTGTCCTTTCCGGGGCTTCCTGGTAAGGATTCCAATGCTGTGTGGTAGGCCTTGGAAACCACACGCACCCACTGGGCATAGCGACTGCTCGGACCCTTAAGATGTATATAAAGGGCCTTAATAATTAGGATAAGGCGTCGGGATTTGAATTTTCTGGCCAATGGCACTTTTTAGGAGTTGATTTCCAAGTACCCGAAAGACCTAAACCCTAAACCCTAAACCCTAAACCCTAAACCCTAAACCATAGCAGAGTTCCATGTGGGATCGGGAGTTTGGCGGACCTGATCGGTGCCGTTTAGGCTTTAGGGTTTAGGGTTTCAGCTTTGGGGTCTCTAAACCCCTAAACCCTAAACCCTAAACTGTAGGGTGTAAGCTTTAGGATTTCGAGTTTAATGCTTAGGTTTTAGGACTTCAAGTCTCGAGTTGAAGTTTAGGGTTTAGGGTTTAGGGTTTAGGGTTTAGGGTTTAGGGTTTAGGGTTTAGGGTTTAGGGTTTAGGGTTTAGGGTTTAGGGTTTAGGGTTTAGGGTTTGAGGTCTGGTTTCCAGGGCTCGGGTCTCTCGTCTAAGGTTTTGGGTTTGAGACTGTTGATGATATAGATCCTGCAGTACCTTAAGGACCCCAAACCATGGGAATTTATGATATATGGGGGTTTCCGAAAATAGGGGACCCTAATATAGTACCCTAAATGCCCTAAATAGTAGGATCCTTATTATAAGGACCCCAAAATAAGGTACCCCTTACTTTCTGAAACCCCCATACTTCTTTTTTGGGGTAGTGCAGGATTCATATCATCAACCGGAGCTTGGGGTTTGAGAGTTTGGGGGGCTTGGGGGGCTTGAGTCTGCAGGATCCCTAGACCCAGTACGTAGTTTCAGGTTTAAGGCTTCAGAGTTTTTGGGGTTTGGGGTTTAGGGTTTAGGGTTTAGGGTTTAGGGTTTAGGGTTTAGGGTTTTACCCCTTAGGATACTTCCTTTCTCCTACAAGTCAGCTTCAAAGAAAGAACCTCGAAGCGAGAAAGAACAGAAGGGGCTCTACTCCCCAAGCCCTTAACCCTGAGAGGCCTTGGGGGATGAGTCCGGGGATGAGTATAGGGCTTAGGGTTTAGGGTTTAAAGGTTTAGGATTTGGGGTTTAGGGTTTAGGGTTTAGGGGTTTAGGGTTTGGGGGTTAAGGGTTTAGGGTTTAGGGGTTTAGGGTTTAGGGTCTTCAAACCCGATACACCCCCTGTCAAAAAATGCATACAACGCCACATGGCAACCAAGAAATACCCGTAAATACTCGTTGGAAAACCCTGAATAAAATTCCTCAACCCTAAACCCGAAACTTAAACCTTAAACAAACCCTGAACAAATTCAACAACCTGCAAAGAACCTGGGGGACGCAGCTCAGGTCCTGCACACCCCCAACCAGCAGACCAGTCTCGTTAGGGGGTTCAGAGCTTGCGGTTTTGGGTTTGGGCTTGGGGATCCTCCAGAAACACGGGAAAAGCCATTAAAAACTAAGTTTCAGAAGAACCTGCAAAACCTATTTTGAAACAAAACACCTCTGCACATGCTGAAATTTACAAACCTTTTATCCATAATAAATCCTGAAACCCTACGCCCAAAATGCTGCTGGCGGGCCGTGGAGTTGGCGAGATCCATCACCTTCGGTCCAGGGGGTTAATGGATTTTAGGGGTTTGGGGTTTAGGGTTTAGGGGTTTAGGGGTTTAGGGGTTTAGGGGTTTAGGGTTTAGGGTTTAGGGTTTAGGGTTTAGGGGTGTAGGAGCTTTGGGTTTAGGGTTTCGGCGCTCACGACTCGGACAAGGGTTCAGGGTCTAGGTTTTTCATTTTGCCGGGCTTTACAAGGTTTCATAGAGAGCTGCATGGTATTTCATGCGTCGGAGTCGTCGGGACTTCTTAGGAGGTCATAAGGCCCTAAACCCTAAACCCTGAACCCTAAACCCTAAAACCTAAAACCCTAAACCCTAATCCCCTTCAAGGGTTTCCCGAGCCAAGCATGGGATGCCGCTGGGTTCAAAGATGTTTGGGGCATCTCACCTCGCTTCATTGGGTTTCAAAACCCTAAACCCTAAACCCTAAAAAGGGACTTCAGGGTTTAGGGTTCAGGGCTGTAGGGTTTGAGGGTTTGGGGTGCCTCGGTTTTGTAACCTCATCAGACAACAATGAACGAGTCTTGATTTCATTGTTCGTGATATGGACGATACCCCTAAACCCTAAACCCTAAACCCTAAACCCTGAACCCTAAACCCTAACCCCTAAACCCTAAACCCTAAACCCTAAACCCTAAACCCTGAATCCTACCCCCTAAACCCTGAACCCTAAACAATGTGAAGAAATGCAGGCCTTCTCTTTCCGTACCCGCGAACCCCGAAACCCGGAAGTTCAGCCATGACATGGTTTACGACGTATTTCAGACTTCGGCAAAACAGGGTTTAGGGTTTAGGGTTTAGAGTTTAGGGTTTACGGTTTAGGGTTTAGGGTGAATTCAGACTTCGGTATTTAGAGAAGCGTTGTAAGCCTGAGTTGCAAGCGTGATTAAATTACTTCCGAAAGTTCTTGGTTGTCTAGGAGACATTGGCTGAGGCTGTCTGGTTTTGGATGGTGGGTTTTTGGCATAGAAAAGGATGAAGCTGTAAAGGTTAGAGGCATTTTGGGATTTCGGAAATCAACGCGAAAGATTCGAAGCTCGGCAGACACTACGACTGGCTTTCTCGACCACGAAGATGCGATGCGTGGTGCTATATACAATGGCTTCTTTCGAGTCGCATCTTGTACTCTTAACCCTAAACCATAAGCCACTGAAAACAACTCCGAAGCTGAGACCAAAATTCTCGTCCTTGGGTATGAGATTGGACGGCTTTCGCCGCTGAAACCGCAAAAAAACAGTGTACCGGAAGCCGCGAGACCCAAACCGACAAAACACCACCCGAAAGCCTATCTCTGTCTCGACCACAATGACCAAACTTCAAAAAGTTAGGGGTCTTCAGACAACTCGGAGCTGGCACTCTATCGTTTGGGAGACCAACAGTGCTCCCAGTCTTGACAGCCACTCAGAGAACTCGGTTTGGGGTTTAGGGTTGGGGGTTCAGGGTTTAAGGCTTAGGGTTGAAGGTTTAAGGTTTAGGGTTTAAGGTTTAGGGTCTTGACAACCAGTTATAGGTAGGTACAACCCTCATGGGGTTGCAAGTCCATGCGGAGCCGTTGGATAGTACACGGCTACCCCCGGGTATCTTGACCCTCAGGGGGAGTTTCGTCATCAAGCTGTACATGCAACCATGATTTGCTTACAGATGCCCTGAAACTCCAAGCAGTGCCCAAACTCTTTATAAAAAAATGCATATGCCATTGCAGAACCCGAGAGCCCAAAATAAAAGGTTTCGAAAATTCGCCGTGAACAACCTTGAAAAACTGCAAGTACCCCGACTAAACACTCGACACTACTTATTGAACAGCACTTAGACTTGCCGCAGTTCAAATTTTGTTCAAAGGATACTCTTCAATTGAAAAGTGGAGTAGCTCTGTGGGTATCCCTAATACCTTAAAGTCCCAAAACCCAATACATGAAAACCAACTCCCAAGAAACCCTGCCAAAACAAACAGAATGCACTCTCACTGTCACGTTATAAAAAGCGAGCAAGAAGAAGAAGAATAATAATAATAATAATGACAAAAGCCCAGACCTCCGTCAGATCCTCAGCCAGTGTCAGCGGTGGCTGCAGGTAGGCAAGGAAGGTGTTGTGGTATTCCTAGGTTTAGGGCTGTGGGGCCTAAGGTTTTACACACAGTAGAGTTTGAATCTGGGCTTAGGTTTTAGGATGCCAAACCCCTGAACCCCAAAACCCCGAAGTAGGGCCCTAAACCCCTGAACCCCATGAACCCCTAAAGCCCTAAACCCCAAACCCTAATCCCTAAACCCCTAAAACCCCGAAACCCCGAAACCCCGAAACCCTAAACCCTGTGTTAGGGGTGTAGGGTTCAGGCTTTAGCTTTCAAGGGCAATTGTCGGGGATTTCGAGGTTGGGTTGAGGGTTTAGGGTTGAGGGTTTAGGGTTTAGGGTTTAGGGTGTAGGGTGTACGGTGTAGGGTGTGTAGGGTGTAGGGTTTAGGGTTAGGGTTTGGTTTTGACCGAAACGTTTTGGCCGAGTTTCGTCTTTTGTGACCTGATTTTGACTCTGGGGCTGCTGGGGCTGCTTAGGCTTTACGGTTTAGGGTTAGGGTT